TTTCATTACTTGCAAACAGCTTACTTCTATCAGCTTTGAAAACTTCTGTATCCCTGCTTTCAAATAAAATATAAACATTAAAGACATAAGCTTCCAGCAATAGGTTTTCCATTGTAAGTGTTTCAAAACATTAGATTCTCATCACATTTTTTATTACATTTGAAAGCATCAGAATATTTGAATCATTAAAATATAATGAAATCCCCATTTTAACCCTTTAAGTCTCTTCAGTGACCTAAACATAAATTCTCCTTACACTATCAATATGATATCAAGCAGACAAGTAACGAGAATAAAGAAAAATATCAATTAGGGTATTATTGGTTGATCCAAGTCCAAATTCTCCAAACTAACTTCACATTAAGTGTATGGCAGACAGTAGGGGGAATTTCTAATGAAATCGTGGGAGTTAAAGGGTTAAGACACATATGGTAATATATGTACCAGAAAGACAGCGAGTTAATATTACATTATACTCCAGTAAAGTGTTCTTATGTAGAATGAAGTTTCAATCTCATTGAAATAAAGTTGACTTCACAATTCAGATTTTAGTTAAAAGAAATGCTTAGTATCTCTTTACAAGGATGAAAAGGGAATGACACATGAATTTAAAAACAGTAAATACCAAACACTTAAAGATGGATTTTAAAAACTACCAAAATGTGGCACATCTTTTTACTGAGGTTTTAATCATTAGCTAGCACACAGAGATTTGAAAAAGGCTTTGTGAAAAAACCAGGCCCGGGTTGTTCAAATCTGGGTTGAGATAACCCAGGGTTAGCATGGAATTTTATTTCAGGTCTGAAAGCTTAAAAGAAAATTCAGTTCAAATCTTTTTGCTTGCAATTTGATCATTGGATATTCTAAAAAGAATAGGGAAAATTTTCTCTAAAAGGCTTTGGAAAAAATAAATATAAAAACCTGCATCAAAATTTAACCCAAGGCTAGCACTAATCGGCCTTTGAACAACTGGGCCCAGGGCTATAAAATTAATATACTGATGTTCTCACCTGCATTCAGTCTGAAAAAGGAGCTCTGCAACACTTCTGTCAGTTTATCTTCTCACCCTTGAATTAAAACATAACGTTTGATTATTTTTAGGCAGGTTAAGTAGGAAATTAAAAGAATGGATATATGTCACATAAAAAGAAACCTCCTACTATAAAATAAAGCAGAAGCACACTACCTATATGTCTATGTTTTTTAAAACAGCTATAATAGAATTTTTTAATCAATTATCTACATATGTATACCGGGTGCTACATACGGCCGAAAAAGCAGTTTTATTCGAACCCTCCTCCTTGAAGGGTTCCTTGTATATCAAATAAATCAAGTTCAGTACTTCCAGAGTCATAAGCCGGGCTTTTGGGGCTACAAAATAATAAAATAATCAACAAATTATGCTAGGCTAATTTATCAAGAGTCAATTAAGTATAGTTTCCTAAAATCGTATGGAAAGTTTAAAATGTGCTTCACTTGTGCTACATATACGGATTCATCGCTCTTAATTACTGATGAAATTCCGAGAGTCTGACTCAGTAAATTCAAAAGAAAATATCCAAGCGGGTTACAG